GGAATTTGAATTGGAATTTGAATCGAAATTTGAATTGGAATTTGAATTGGAATTTGAATTGGAATTTGAATTGGAATTTCATTGTGGACGTAATAACTTTAATTGATTGAATTGAAGTTTTAACTTTCAGACAGAGCCCCATACAGGCGGAAGTATGAGTTCAAGTGCTGCAGTTTGATCAGTGAGTGGTTTGAAGAAAGTTTCTTCCTCCAGTGCATGCTAACATAACAGTCTGTTTTATCCGTTTTCGTTTCGGTCTCAGGTGTTCACTGGTAACATGGACTCCGACACCCCGGTCTGTAACGTGTTTGATGAGAGTGTAGAGGCCGCCGTAGTGCGTATTGAGCCCATCGAATGGTATGGTGGAGTTCGCCTCCGATTTGAGTTGCTTGGATGTCGCCATAATTAATTCATTTTCGATGCGTCCAGCAATTCATAACCTTTGGTTATGCTACAGAAAACTACCACCCGGCAAATGTATATTAAATTGGCTCTATTCAGACAAAAATCTGATGTAGATTTCCTGAAGAAGTTGGTTAAGGTCACGACAATGACTTGTAAACATGTAAATATCACTTTCAAACACACATTTGAAAAGACCCCAAATCATCACTTTTTTGTACAATGTAACTTTATGATAACACAAAATACAGAAATGTCATTATAATTATGATATTTAAAGTGGTTGTTATTACCGAAAATGGGTCACTTGGGAGACATTCCCATAAGAACGTGCACAAACTTTACTGTCCCATAATTAAATATTCCCCAATCTGACCTGAACCAAACTTTGTATGTTTTCAATTTAGACCATAATCTATCATATCTCAAAATTTGGACGATAAAATTCGGCCTCCTTTTGATTGCTGGGGCATTAGAAATGTCTCCCTAATGACCCATTTGTAAGAATTTAAATCAGTTTAATTAAGCAGTTAGTTAGCAAGCTTGTATTGCAGACTGTTAATTGTAAACCTTGCGGGCACGAAGTTATGGTAGCACAAGCTCGCGTCACTAATGGGTCAACGCTCATAGATCTTATGAGATTTTCTATAATTAGCTAACCCCTGCCCTGAGCAATGTCCTTAAGTCACTGACTGCCATTTTTCTAATTTTCTTAATTTTCTAACAGCATTTTTTTAAAGAATAGTCGCTGTCACTGTAAAAATGCTGGGCATTTTTTTAACGAGGAATACCAGGTGAATCGTTGGGCAAACAGATTTCCCAACCGCGTTGATTTTCTCTCCTGAAATACGAAACGGGCAAACTTGTCTCATTTTATCAAACGGCTGTAGAAATTTTTTTTGGAAAACCACTTTTTTACCCAGTGTTATTCTCTTTTTGCCCAACAGTTGGGCAAAAAAATTGCAAAGCGTTTTTACAGTATACGGAATGCACATGCCATCTAGCTTAACAATTTCACGAATTCAATGCATCATGCCGAGGCATAGGACGTAAATTTTTATATCAAATGCATGCGGGAAAGGACGATTCCCCCACAGAGTGGGATTCCGAAAAGGGGCGTCATTTCTGTTGTATGATAGTCATTTTTGTTCATACTGGGATACAGCTTCCTTTCCAACTCTCAAATAGAAATTCTTCTCGTAGTTTACTTTTGGTCGACTTTGCTGAACGGAAAGCTGCATAATACAACATGAAAACCTACCCATTGTGCGGCGTTCTTATACCGTGGCAAGAGCCGCGACTCGGCGGCACGGTGCTGAGGAAGTAGAGCTCCGTGACAGAAGTTGCCCCAGCTGCAGGTTGTACAGTTACGACCATAAAAAAAGACTACACGTGAGCCAAAGACTTGGCAGAGAATGCAACCTCGAGTCGCAGTGCTTCTTATTCTTTAGTATGAGACGCGTAAGCGTTATCGTTTGGTTTGTTGAGGTCCACGAGCTCCGGAGGGCTGAAGACAGGGCAGTCAAATATGATGTGATGGGTTCTCTGTTCCACAGCCCTATACCCTCTCATGGGCGCAGCCCCCAGCGAGACATGTTGGCATTGAAGCGGCCCACTCCGGAGCGCCGTACTGCTAACATCGCTCGACCATTCCCGAGACATCTACGAGAGAAGGCATTTCTCTGTAAATTAAACGCGATCACATAAATACACAGTTTAATCCAGGAGAACAGACTAGTTAAGAATGAGCTCAAAATAGGATAGTAGGGATCGATTTACAATAAAACAAAATACTCTCGTAACAGTCTCCTGCGCACCGTCCACCTTGTTATTGCTAGCGTGGACGAGAGTGGCACAGACATCCCCTGCGACGCCTTCTGCAGACATGTATCGTGTAACATCCGGGAAAATCAGAGCATGGGATGAGGAATGACTCGTTATAAAAGTGCACGTTAACATCCGGCCGAAACCAGAACATGTGTTACCAAGAAATGACGCAGCGTTCTGTTAAAATGATTCTACTAACATGCGGAAATGGAGGGCGCTGTTTTGAAAATTTTGGGGAAAAATGGAGAAAAAATTGACGCGGACGTTTAAAATGATGCGCGCGCTGACTAGAGACCGACTTTCTTTTCTTTTTTTTTCTTTTTTTTTTCTCTTTTTTTGCCTAACCATGGTAATTCCTTTAGACCGTGATGTAGTGCTAGTGGCCGAGCTCAAACTTCAAAGGGTAGAGTTTGAATCCACAGAAGTAGTTGAGGCCGTACTTGTACAAAACGGGTTGCTATTGTCTACGGCTTCGAGTCTGCATGCAGGATATCAATTTTGGCAAATGAAGCCTCAGCCACAAAATTACTCAATTCAACCCGCCCCCTCTTTATTTAGCCTACCGTGAGTACTCAGCAAATGCACGCTGCAAAAGCCGTCGTGGGTGCTAATAATTTTACCATGGCCGATACACGACACATCAGTGTTACCAGGACATTAGCTTTTTATCGTAAAAATAATCAATAATAATCATAAAACAATGCCCAACAATTAGTTTACATAAACAGGCACGGTGCTCAGAACTTGGAATAATTCTTTCAAAAAATGGAATTGATTGACATTTTAGCTCAATTTTTTGTTCCGTTAATCCAACTGTTATACTGACCTCAAGCATGTGTTCCAATAATCCTCAAACGAAACAACGATTGATAAACAGAAGAACTTGTGTATTTGTTATGTGTATTACACTTGTTACCTGATTGATATGGCAAAAACCATTGCAGTTGTCAAAGTCGGCATGCAAAGGTAGACGGAAAGGCCGACACGTAGAACGACGTTCGTCATATGCGTTATGCTCGGGACGCATAAAATACGTAGTGTACATTTTCTGAGCATAGTATTCATATCCGTACGTCGTTCTACGTGTCCTCCTTTCTACGTTCAGATGAAAAAAATGAAGCGGGTCAGACTACGGTGAATGCGCGCGTGCGAGATCAGCCCAATTGACACCGCCCATCAAAACCCTCTAAATCATTTCAAAGTGTTACAAATATCCTTTTGACTGTTTGGAAGGTTTCATTAAAAAACTGGAAAAGCTGAAACAGGGTGAAGCCGCTCGGGAAATATTGTATTAAATAAACCACATTATAACATTATGTAGTGTTTATTGGAGTTCCTTCGCTTAGGCTGGCTTGAAAGCTTGTCAAGACAGACTACCTAAGTCACTTAGAAGGTCCATAATTGTGCACTGTGCGTGACATAAAATCCAAAGATATCAGCGAAATGCCGACAATCTTATTCAGTTATAGTTAGTTGCTGTATCATAACCGTTATTGACCGCTTCAAATGAATCCACTTCTGTATGTATATGAAACCAAACGTAAACTATAAATATCTTTGTGAGCACACAAATTATTTGTTTACGGCTCTTCACTCTTCTCCACAGTATGGAAAATTGCAGCCCGTCATATATGCCTCAATGAAGTGGTGGCCATTTTTGGAACCCTCAGTTGTTGTAGATTTAATGGCATGTACGGCAGTCTTGTGCCATGTAATGAAACAACGATTACTCAAACAATATTAAATAATGCGCGAGAGCTGGAAGAGGGAATACTGCAAGAAAAGGAAGATGCAATATCACTAAACGGTTTCGGCAGTAGGGCGTGGAGGCAGGAATCGGGGAAAGCGCCAACGATCCTCCAGACATGCAGTACCGGTGGTGCCCTTATAGATCGGACCGTGTACCATGCAGTTTAAGGGCCTGGGCCCCGCTGGGTTCTTCGGAGGTCCACAACGCCTTCAGGTGATGATAGCAATGGTGTATCGGGGCGGGGAAACCCCCCCCCTCTGGGTTTTGGGTTTTTTTACAAAGAATACTTCATTGATAAGAAAGTCATCGGTATATTTTGTCAAATATTAGCACCAAAACCCTTTTGAAAACAACACCATGAAATAAACGCTGGAATGTTGGGATCGGGCGTAAGGCTTTTCATATCCCCCTCCCCATTATCATGTTGAATGACTCCGAAACCGTATTCGCTTTTGAATTCCCCCCACCCCCCACCAAAACTTCCCTCTCCTGCACATGCGCTAACACCGCAAAAACCAGGAGGCATTTTACAAAGACAAGGTAAATGTTAATGTTGCAGTTTTGGATGTATTTGAGGATTTGGTGACAAAGTTGGTTTTGTCCCAGTAAATGTTTTAGAGTCATTGCGGTGTCTGTTGAGCAAAGTGTTCTTTTGGAGAGATTGACTTTGGAAAGGAACCCACAGAGGCATCCCGGAGGATCCTTTAAATAAAAATAGAGATTTGCGCGCTGTCCACTAGTTTCTAGAGAGATCAGCAAGCTCTGCGGTTGCTCTGGTGAATTTACAACCGCAAAACGACCCAGGTATACCGTGCCCATTGTCTTGTAAGCATCATATTTTCGGCAATTCCACTCGTGAATGGTGCAATTCGGCAGAAAGCGGGTGCTTAACGGATGCTGTCCTTGGCGGATACTGGCGCACTTACCGCATGTATGTTTTGATTAACTACGATAATGACTAAGTGGCATGTACCTTCGCTGATATCCAACAGACTTTTATATATGGCAATGGCTGGATCGCTAGCCCTGTCTGGCGTTTTTATAGGGCGTTTTTATCGGGGATTTCGTCGTCATGTTTGGTTTGGATTTCTACCCGATCTACTCTTTTGTACACACTCATGAAGGGAGATAAACCCAACATCAAACGCATAAAAAAAAATAATATTGCCAGGTGCAGTCAGTTACGGCCGGGGCAAGTCTGCTTTCATTCTAAATAAAGGAATTTGGACTCTAAATGTTTACGGATTTCAAAGAAAACCACATAATGTTCCAGCCGTCTTTGAAACATCAAAATAACTACATGTATATGCCCCTTCCCTTTACAACCATGGAAATATTAGCAAGTGTAATAAACGATATCTGGAATTGTACAGGGTGAAAGGCTAATTGAAATCTACCGTGAAGCAAAATGTTTGAAAAGGGACGTGGGAACATGCAATCCCTCTCAACTCTATGTAAAGGTATTCCTTTGAATTAAATGTACAGGGAACCTGGGGTCACGCGTCTAGAGGGGTTTCAGCGAATACTCCCAGGATTGGACCAGGTGGACATATGAGGCAAGATATGGGACAAAGACCCCCCCCCCCGTGTTAGTCACTGTTTTACTTGAATCTCAAGAATTCCTTTCCGACATCTAGGGAGATGTGTTAGGTAACAGTAGTCTAGAGTGTGTTTAGGGGTTGGACATGTGGGGGGTACCCATTTGTCTCATTTCTTGCTGGGTATATAGATTCGTCCATACAACCTTACTGCACCTTTACCCAGTAATTACTGTGGTGTGTAGTATTTAGTTGAATTAGCCATAGAAGTAGCACAAGCCTACAATCCACTATGAAGTAGCCTTTAGTAAGGGCGCACCTCGCACCCGTGACACAAGTACAGTGATAACAGAAAACAGTGGCACACCTGATACCTGCAGTGGTGACACGAAAAAGACCACGAAAGTGGCTTAATGGTAAAGCCCGGCCAACTCGCGCCGGTTTTAGTGTTACCAGCTGAGTATCCACGGTGCCACGCGAGCTTGACTGACGGATAACACACTGCAGACGGGGTGGGGTCGTTTTACAGTCACAGGTCATACATCCAAAGTGTTCTTGCTGCAAATTAAGTCACTGCATTTGAGGAAATGGACTGATCTTCGGCCTTGATTTTGATTATGTCTGCACTGACAGGTGATGAACCTGTTTTCTTCTGTGTTCAAATATAAGTAATTCTAATTGGGTCCCGCCATTGCATATTCCAAATTTGAACCACCGAGAAAGCTCTGGCCCTGGTTCCACTCTCAGCCTCTTTCCTGATTGGCTGGCGATGACGTCAAGCCCGCCAAGCATTCTCCATTTATAGCTGCTGCGTGGATTATGCAGGTGCGCTTGATTTATACCATGTCCAAGCACATAGATTCGCGTCACTTGCATCTGGAAGAATGGACACAACTGGAGCTCAGATTCTGGTGTTATCAACAATGACAGGTCAGCTTGCATTTTCAATTAGACTTTTTTTTTTTTACTGATATCTTCAACTACAGACAGGCACGGAGCTCTAGTAATTCTGGTGAATGCTGTCTCTCACAGATTCGCAAGAAATGCATTCCACTTCGTTTTATGATATGACGTACGTGTTGAAGCTGTTCAACCCATGACGGCAATGATTTCGCTTCACCGTTTTCATTGCGTTCATATTTGACTACGGGTTGACGTTCGTATTTCTTCGGTCCGTTCACCACGTAAACTCCAAATCCAAACCTCCAAATCGATCATTTTTGATATTCCTCTGGCCATATAAAATAACTCACAGACCCTTTGACCGGGATTTGTATCAAAATGTTGACTACTTCCTATTTTAAATCGTAAACAAACTTTTAACAAGTCAAGTCTAATCTTCGTTTTACTTGTTTTTACAGTGGCAAAAGTCCTTTTATTGAGTAATGAATTATTGTTTAGTTGGGACACGTTTTGTACAACCATTGAATAGCGATGTACAAAGCTTAAATTTTATTTAAATGCGGAACTTTCTCAAAACTGTACTATTAGTAGCATATAGGAATTATTTTCCAGTGCAATTATCTCGGAATGTACATTTGGCTGGATAAGGAGGATTTTTCCTAATGTGGCACTGTCGAAATGTTTACACATAAATAAGGGAATTGACTTAACCATGACTCTCCCAGTCCACGGTTTGAAATATTGCGAATGTTCTTCGTTAGTAATTCCAAACTGAAAAAACGTTCCTAATCTAAAATGTAATTGCCGTATATCATGTGGTGATCGCCTGACAAAGAAACGCAACTGAAACGCTGCAGTGCATTTTCAGCCATTTTGACACCAATTTCATGAAATCTGGGGCCCTTAGGACCATTTTTCAACCGTATTCTTTAGCCATTCTGCTCTCAGATTAAAGCCCAAAGACCCAGGGAGTTGATTCTGGCAAAGATTTACTCAATCTCACCATTTTGGGGGCCAAACAATCACCTTTTTCAAAAGATACTGTGAGGGTACTTTTAATGCTGGTGAGCTTAGCGGAAATTATTGCGTGCATTAGTGGACTGCACCCTGAAGCTCCATATTTCTATTGAGAAGGAGTGTTTCACTTGCATGCCAAGTTTTGTAAAAAAAAACAAAAAAAAAACAAAAAAAAAACGCGCCGCTTTGACTTAAGAGAGTCCACATTTTCATTCATGAGATTTTTGTGACGGTCAGCGTTAAATTTACACAGATGTATGTGCGCGGAAAAGCACGTGCCTTTGTTTTATCTTAACATCCTTGCGTACATGAAATTACCAATCCGATTCGTAAGTGCGACGTCACTTCAGTTTGAACCACGCCCACTGCACACGTGCACTGTTCATGGGTTTACATGCTTTGATCACCGTTTACATGGAACCGGAAGTTAACGCGCAACTTCAGCGATTGTCCAATGGAAGCCTGCAAATCGGGACGCGTCCGCCAATGTGACGAAGTCACTTACGAACCGGATAGAAATACCCAGATAATTAAAAAATGTACGTGCCTCCACGAATGACGTACACCTTCTGAAGTCAATTTGCCGGTCATGTTACGTCCCGTGAGAAACCTCCATAGGATGCCTTTGACCGCTTGATTTTACGCGACTACTAGGCCTATGGCATGAAGATGCATGGAGAATGCATCACTACCCGAAGTGTAGTGATGAGACTACGACATACACATTATCAATGCTGTTCTCCCTTTTTATGATCGTTTCCATAGTACTGGTAACATGTCATCAGTTCTGCTTCGTCGGAACGCAAGACAACCCGCAGTCTGGTACCCCGGCCACCTGGTTCCTACCTTACAAACATCACTGCCAATGTACCGCTATAAGTTTCGGCGGGGTATACATGTCTGCTTCGTCATACCGCCAGGTGGCGCCCCACTACATGGACGAGCCTTTCCTGAGCGAGGACCCGGCTGAGATTCAAGCTTACTTCAACTGCGGTCGCACAGGTAACACTTGCCCAAGTTTATGGAAAACCTATTAGACGTTTAAGGATTGCTCCCATGTGACTGATCCGGTGTTTGGTGCGTTCCTTTAGCTTCCACGAGTTGACTGCAACCAATTTTTCTTTGACACAATTTTTCGTCAACTTTCTATTCTTCATTGTAAGAAAACTCTTTTGAAAAACTCTATTTGTTTAAATGCATTAATGTCCTTTTGAAAATGAATCGATAATTTCATGAACAAATGAGGGCGCTGTTGCAGTAAAGGGGGACATTGTTCAGTGCATAAGTAAACTGTGAACCTAGAATTCACCCAATGAGAACATTAATGAGAAGCGGATTGATGCTTGTATTGCTATGCACATTAAAAAAGTGAATTTGAAAATAAGAGAAAACTGAGTCCGTGAAAATGTTTTTAAAATGCAGGACTTTTGTGTACAAACCAATGTTGGTTATAGCTTTCTTAATGGAATGCTTAGCATGACAACCAAAAAAGGCAGTAAACTACCCTTTAAAATAGTGAAACAAAGTTGAAAAAAGATTAACTGCGATACAAAGGTGCATTCTGAGGTTGCATGAAGCTACTATTCCATGCACCGTCTTGCTCGTTTTACACGGCTCACACGGCCATTCCCAGGTCAGAGTTGCCCAGTGCAAGTTAATCGAATGAACCCTATTTGCTCAAACGAAAAGCAAATAGTGGGAAAAGGACAAGGATCCCCCCCCCCCGAAGCGTACCAAAAGGCGCCTATTAAAAGGTATATGTACTCTGGTACTTTGAACATAGAAAACACTTGAAAATACACCTTTCTGTTCCTCGGAACTGTTGTCATATTCTGTTATTTTCGTCCTCTTTGATTTTATTCTAATACATATTCATGAGCAGAAAAGTAAGGGTAATCTTCAGTGTTGCACTATTTTGTGAACAAAAAAGCTTGGAACTGTTGAGAATTGTCCAAAATGACGGTTTCATTCGTTGTTGGGTGCATTGCGGTAAGTGAACGAGCAAACCTTTCTCAGAGGGAATGTTATTAAATTAGCATTTATAGGATTCACACCTTCCCACCCTGCCCTAGCACCCACACTGGTCACACACCCACACTTTTCTTACATACTGTGGACATTCCTTTCTTTTCGTGCAATTAAGAAAACTCAGTCAAAATACTCATTTTTTCTTGAACTTGGAACACGATTTTCAGCTGTTTTTTGTACAAGGTTTCCTTGACTGTTCCTCTTCCTTTTACGACGGATGACCCCTACCCCAAAATTTCTCTGAACTTCTTTTTCAGAGAAGGGAAAACGTCCTGCGGACGTGTGGTAAGTCCACAGAACGTTTCCTTTCCGGCATCGTGTGGACATCTTTTGTTCACAAGTCCATACTAGGTATGTAAGCTCAAGGTTGGGTACATGTGAGTTTGTTTCTGCATTCAATTGGGGACGCTGAACAATAGAGGACAATAAGGTCCCCGATTGACAGAAGGTCCCCAATAGTTACGCATAGTTGAAGAATTCCAGCCATAAAATTCTATGAAGCCATTTTTTTTATTGTACAAACCCTCTATTTACTTAATTTGGCCCATAGGGATTCAAAACAATGCGGTTGCAAAATCTGAAAAAAAGAGATAGCAGTACCGAAGAGCAAAAATGTGAACGTACTTGGAAGCACATGTAACTGATACAGGAAATGTGAGTGCGTTGCACGTAATGCGCACTGGACGCGCTGCCATCCACCGTTTCGCCCATTGTTTTCCCATACTTTTCAAAATCACGGTTATACGCGCAAGACTGGCGGTCTCTGCGTTTATATGTCTGTGATAAGAACTGACTATTATTAATATAATTATTACTTATTATTATTTTATTAAAAAATGACGCTGACTGGTTCGTAAGTGTGACGTCACTTCAGTTTAAACCACGCCCACTGCACACGTACACGGCACACAGAGTTACATGCATTGATTGTTGTTTACGTGGAGCCACGGAACCGGAAGTTATCGCGCAACTTCAGCGATCGTCCAATGGAAGCCTGCAAATCGTGGCGCGTCCGCCTTTGTGACGAAGTCACTTACGAACCGGATTCAGAATGAATACACATAAACGTAAAGTCAACTGCACACTATTTCAAAAGCTGCACGCTCGCGCCTAAGCATTCTCCTGCGCGTCACGCAAGCATAAATCTGCATATCGCGCGTGAACACACTGACTGAAGTCCTAATTCAAAATAGGCGTACCCTAAAAGTGGGATTTTTAAATTGTGCAATAGGGGGGGGAGATTGCAAAAGGCATGGTGGGAATCACCATGGAGATCAATGGTGGGAACCAAGAAGGCGTGGCAAGATTGTACCCATGAGAACGAAGTGGCAGCTCCAATGTATCTTTCCTCCAGCACATGACTTGGCACAACACGCGTGAAACTGTTGAAATGAGCGTCAAGAACGCCCGGCGCACATCCTTGGGGGTGATAATGTCATTTTTTGTTTCGGTTGCGCCCTATGTTTGTCACGTTTGATGCGCACTTTTGTATCTTTCCTCCTGCTCGTGACCCTCTAGGCAAGATCTCGCGTAATCACGCATTGCCGATCTAGTCTTTTATTCTATAGTCATAAATACCTCAGAAAGTCTCCCCATTCAACAACGTGCAACTTGACCGTGTTTTAACATTTGATAATGCCCGCTGCGTAACGCTCGCGTTTGCACCTGGACACGAGACAGTTTACTCCATCCCTATTGGTCATGAGTCGGCGTGCGAAGCATGCGCGCCCCGAGTCCATTCTATTGGACAACTTTTAAAAGGAATATACGATCAAATGGACGGGGTGTTCGGGAAAATGAAAGAAAAATTTTAGAACTAAAAAATCCATCATATGTTGACTTCTTTTGGTTCTCTATATACAAAGGTATATATGAATGGGAATAATTATGCGGTTCGGGCATTAGTCGCGTCCATTCTCGATCTTCCGTGCCGGTTTTAAAGAACATTTAAGACCGGCCAAGCATACATTTATTCCCTTAGACAAATTCGACGAGACGCAGTTGGGAGGGGGCATTTATAATCGGGCAGCTGTCTCAACCTGAGCTCACACACTTCGGCAATTGACTGCTACCTATTGGTCAAGGCGGAATTTCACGCGCGTGCACCGCCTGTATACAGACAGGATGGCCCCGTAGTCAAGGGTTCTATTTTTGGTTGTCAAATTTGTCTGTGGCACGACATTATGCGGACTCGCGCGAGTTCTTTGTTCCTGAATGCCCTTCTTTTTTTCTTTCTTTTTTTTTTTAGAAATACCAAACTGACTCACGGGTTAATCTGTCTCACCCATTCTTGGGCATTTAAAATATCCGAGTTTTATCAGATAACGGAGGGCCCGGATGCTGTGATGTCTTCCAGTGAAGACATGGTTCAGTGCATAGTTTTCTTTGTCCAAATTTCATTGTGAACCAAAGATTTACTCACTGAAAACATTTCTAAGAAAGGTGTGCTTGCTTGCTTATTGCCATGTACAAGTACATGTACTTATGCAACAATCTATCACCAAACAAGGGAAATTTACGCCAGCAAAATCGTTAAAAAAATTGTAGGCGTTTTATGTGCACAAGGCAAAGTAACTTTTGGGTTTTTTTCTGACGTCACAGTTTTGCTCATGAATATGAAAATACACATTCGTATTAAATCATAAAAAGGCAGCAAAATACTTTAAAAAAAATAAACACTAACTGAAATAAAATTGATTAACTGAGACAGAGAGATGAATTTGGGAGATTTATACCACAAAAATTCAATTGCAGATATCCTCCAGGTAACATGATCAAAGTTTCCTGACACTGATTTGGAAATGAAACTGTCATAAATGCAAATTCTCATTCTGGTTTCCCTGTTTCCCTGAAGAGAAAAGACCTGTGGGGCCAGGACCCGAGACAGTTGAGTGTACGACAGTCGTGTGTTCATCACCATTAGGGATGGAGGACGGCACTATCCCCAATGCAAGAATCTCGGCGTCCAGCAGTGCAAGTTGGGCCCCTGCCCATGGTGCGCGCCTCAATTGGAATAGCCGGTGGGCACCCCGAAGGTAGGTCAGTCGAGAACAAAGCACACGCGCAAGTCTGCGTATGGCTAGGGAAGACCTTAGACCGAATGCGCATTAGGAATACATGTACCGAAGTGGCTCATTGGAAGAGCAGGGTGGGGCTGGACCTGTTGGACCTAGAGGGCGCTATTTATTGAATTTTGCACCATGCTGTTTGTACATACACACACACGCACACCTAACCACCCTTCAGCCCCAATGGGGTAGACGTGCGTGCCATTTACGTTTGAGTAAAGTCTTTTTCACCCGTTTCCTTCATTAATATTTTCTTTTTCAACTTTAAAAAGTGTATTGATGCGGAAAATCACTGGGATGATCTTATGGTGTATACCCGGCCAAAACGTTTGGGGTAAACCCTCTGCGAACCCTGGAGATTGGCGCCAGGCATGCCAAAAATTCCTGGTGCTTTTCTGTCAATCGTTCCACTTAAAAGCAAGTTTGGTTGCAAAATGCTATTATTTCGCTGTTCGTTATCCTTTCACCCTTTTTATATGTAGAGACGCCGGTTCGTGGATCGAAGTGAACCTTGGCGAGAGCACAATGGTGTCTGGCGTCATCACGCAAGGTAACCCGCCGCGGCGCCAGAAGCCGACTTACGTCACGGGGTACAAGGTGTCTTATAAGAATTTGTCTTCATCTAGCCGTGTATACGTGACAGGAGGAGACGGCAACATCACGGTATAGACATTATGCTTGCACAAACTTGTCGGAGATTAATCAATGTCTCTTTGACCTTTGTGTCCTATTTCGTTATAGCCGCTTGACATTTCCATCGGACAGCATTGGGAATGTACATGTACGTCGGGTCCTATGTATGTGTAAGGGAAAATCCGGCAGTCTTTCGCTTCGTTCGCAAGACATATCCATTTCAAATCCCTACCAATAATGTCAAATCAAAAGTATACGTTGCAAAACTCTGGTGTTCAAGTTGAAAACAACACTTAGGGCCTAACAAGTTTGCGTTATCAGATGACCATGCCGAAAGGTGTTACTCTAACACTGCTGGTGTGACCTTACACATATATGCGTTACAGTACACTGGATGTAATTAAAAGTAATACCAACAGCCTTAGAAATAACACCAAGACATTTAACATCTGTGAAAAGTGTTAGAATAGTTCCATGATAACACCAATTTTTTTTTACAGTGTCATAACAGCGATTGTATAATTATTGCGTTCTTATTCTAAATGTCATCTTGCCAAGACACGTTGCGCATTGTTTAAGCGACGAAACGTGAAATTTCCAATTTAATGATAATTATTTGCTTCTTCGTTTTCGTGAATCTTTTGTTCCCAACTCAATGAATTGTATGCTGTAAATTAAAGGAATAGTCCATCTTGATTGATTAGGCCTAGTTGTTTCCTGTTTAGTGTTTATGGTTAAAATGTCTTGTCTTTTGCGTTCCTTTGTTGTTTTTAGAGGGTGAATACGGCCGTTTCACAATAGTGCGCCACCAAGAGTTTGCAATGCGTTGGCCAATCACAGTGCACAAAATTTGCTGACCAAATGCGCGTTTAGAAAGGGTCGACAAATTTCGCGCGTTATGATTGGCTAACGTGTTGCAAACTCTTGGTGGCATAATATGGTGAATCGCCCGCATTGTCGAATGGAACAAAATAATTATTATCTGCATTTTTTATTATTTGAACACAATAATGTGAATCTTAATTTGAAGTTGAATTTCAGTGTGGATACTATAAATTTAAATTGATTGAATTGAAGTTTTAATTTCAGACAGAGCCCCATACAGGCGGAAGTGTGAGTTCAAGTGCTGCAGTTTGATCAGTGAGTGGTTTGAAGAAAGTTTCTTCCTCCAGTGCATGCGAACATAACACTCTGTTTTATCCGTTTTCGTTTCGGTCTCAGGTGTTCACCGGTAACATGGACTCCGACACCCCGGTCTGTAACCTGTTTGATAAGAGTGTAGAGACCACCATTGTGCGTATTGAGCCCATCGAATGGTGTCGTGGAGTTCGCCTCCGATTGGAGTTGCTTGGATGTCGCTTGGGTGATTAATTTGCCTGCTCCATTTTCAATGTGTTTAGCTTTTTATGACCTTTGGTTTTGCTACTGGAAAATACTCGGCAAATGAACAGAAGATGACTCTGGTTGTTTGAATACTTTCGTTCAACTATCTGATGTAGTTGTTCCTAGAGGAATTGGTAAAGGTCGAGACACCTGACTTTTAAACATGTGAATTTAATGCACAGTTGAAAAGTCATTACTGTTTTGTGCAATGTAGCTTGACGATAACACAAAATGTCATTTTAATTAATACTGTAGTGATGTACTTAGGAAGCTTACGTGCACGTAACTCAAAAGGCGCGACACGTTGGCCGCACGGCAGCAAGTTGTACAGTTACCGCCAAAAGAAAAGACCACGCGTGGGCCAAAGATTCGACAGAATGCAACCTCGAGTCATCGCACCGTGCAACTGCCATCGCTAGACGATTCCTGAGAAACATGCGTGAGCAGGCATTTCTCTTATAAGTTAACATGATCAAGTACACAGTTCAATCCAGGAGTAAAGATTGGCTCAAGAGTGATAACTCTAGTGCGTGCCGTGCGAACGAAGTTTGAAATTGCTAATGATGACTATGTTACGGTGCAGTATGTGCCCCTAACCCCTGGGTTCATATTAAACTGCAATATTTAATACGGGTGTTTCACAATAGCGCACCTCCAAGAGTTTGCAACGTGTTGGCCGCAAATTGGTCAGTGATTGGCCTGTGCGTTGAAAACTCTTGGAGGCGCGCTATTATGAAACCCTCGTATTAAACAGATGTTCATGCGTTGTACAATAGATCGAGGTACCTGCCTATATCAAAGTACCTCACAATATCATTTCGTCTCTGAACGCCTTTGTATTGTACAACATGGTCAGAAGCGTACTTACTTTGTGTATTCATTTGAAACCAATAAATTAAAAGAACAATAAAATAAAAGAACCAGACTCCATTCTATACAATTAATTCCAGCCCCTCAAAATCACCCGGTACCATCTCATTAAGGGTTTCAAATGTATACAACAGGTGCAGGAATACGACTGAAATTGAGTCTCCCGCAAATACAGTCTATTACTGACGTGTATTGGGTGCTAGTTGGGGCATGGCATTCAATAGGAAGTGCTTTTTACAATTAACACTAATTGTTGCTTAAAATGAAAATTTTCTGTTTGTACTTTTGACATTTAGTTTCAACTCCTGTTTTGATTTTCAAAAGAATATTTTTGTAAAACAAGATACATGGAACTTATGTATTTGGTGTTTATAGCCCACTTAGCCCCCCTCCCCCAAAATGCATTAATACAATGTCGCTTCACAGGAAAAAAAATCCGACACAATGACTTCTCTTTTTAATATTCTGAGAATACGCGCGGCCGACCCTTCAGACAAAAACTTGATTAAAGAAAAAGAACCAGAAATCAAAAACAATATTTAACTAATAATTAACGCTGTCAGCATCTGGAACCACCAATTAGCAAACAATTCATTAAAACTAAATTGTTAACACATCCAAACAACGTGTAACGTATCTCTGCAATTCGTTAAAAGCTTTGGAAATCCGACTTTGTGCGAGGGCGCCCTATACCAATTTGCAACTCTGAATATTGCATGTTGATGTGTCGTGTATCGGCCATCACGAATATATTGCACAAGTGACGTTGCATCAACAACACGGCCATGAGAATCAACGACTCCGATTAGTAGGAGGTGCAGGTTAAGCAGAAAGAGTTCTCTCGATGACATTTTGACAGGTAAAATATTACCCTTTTTTCCCATGTTATCATGTGACTCAATGAAATCCAAAAAACGATCCATGGATGCGGTTATTTCTTTCTCTCAAACGCTGGGAGCTGGTTTAGGAAGACTATACAGTGTCACGAATGTAGTGTGTACTACACTACATGATGTACATACATGTACATGTATGTACATGATGTAGCTTGCATATTCTGCATCGCAGGCTGCATGTAGGGCCTACCGGTTTATCACGTTGAATGAACGCAAACGTAGGCATTCATGTACCGCTTATCCGTGGTGCTTTACCACGCGAGTAGTTGCCGTTACATTTGTGTATGTCAGTCAGTCCATTATGAGTTTGATACAGTATTATTACTTTCTATATTAGTACCATGATGAAAATCGGAGACTCATATAAATTGACGTTTTTTTCCCATTCATGCCATTCGGCAGCACAATCCATATTGAAATCATGCAACATGTATGGTGTAGGCCAAGGCCTACCGTAGTTCAGATGACATGCGATATGGGGGACCGAAAAATATACTGTTCCGATCAATAAATTTCAGTGAAATTTCACGTGTTACTTTTAAATAATCAAATAATGACACAATCACAGTAAAAACGGATAATTTACATGTAGGCCCCACTTACCGGTAGCTTTTGTACGGGCACATCAGGATATTCTTAGAACTTTCAAACGTTTTTTCCAGATGGCTGGCATCTGCTTGCGTCACCGTATACATGTAGTTTACATGTTTGTAAACAGAGAAATTATGTCACACAAAATTTTTTTGGAGGGGACCCACATGCAGCGTGTGCCCTGAGCAAAACCGAATACAAAGCTGTGCGTAATTTGTGCATTGAAGCCACGGGGTGATTGCCGCATACAGCGTACATGTACATGTGGCCAACAGTTTAACGCACCCATATTGTACTGTACATACAGTGTACATGTACATGTAGCCAACAGTTTAACGCACACATATTGTACTGTACATACAGTGTACATGTAGCAGCACATGCATGCAACCCTGGAGGGTGTAGCAGGCCTAATTACATGTATGTCTTTAAGTTGGTTCTTGTAGACTGTGTGCTTGGAGTCCCCAATGTAAGGACTTTCCTTCCTCGGTTTTGAAGCATGGTGTGAGGGTAGGGGGCTTTACATGTACATATGCTGAACCTCCACGGACATGTGTACGATAGTTTGAGCCTCTGTGTCATTACTTCAGTGTTGTATTCGAGCCCATCACAAGGCCAGTCACAAGGCCAGTCACAAGGCCAGTCACAAGGCCAGTCACGAGGCCAGTCACAAGGCCAGTCACAAGGCCAGT